TTATTATATAATTATCAATGAAGTATGTTTTGGCTTTTTCAGGCAATTCTTTCCGTGTATTTTTGAATAGCCATCGCAATGGTGTTATTTTCACGTGTGAAGATATCAATTTTTCGAAAAGGAGAAAAATAGATATTTCATTGGTAATTATATAATAAAATGAAATATCCTGTAAGGAATAAGTACCGTCTTTTAGTATAATACGACGCTTTTCTTATTTTTAAGATCAAAATTAAAATTCTAAGCGAATTGGACATTAACCGACATTCGAGGTAAAGAAGAATTGAAATGACAGCAAGTATACTAATTTCAAACGATAGAAGAATACTACAGTTCTGTAAAACGTACGTAAGGTTAGTTTTGATTAACTCAGTTTTATTAATCCCCTGTTTAACGATCTATTGTCGACAGACAAGAAAAACAAAATTCTCATCGATCTTTCACYACGTTTTAGCTTTAAGTCAATAAAGAAGCACTTCTTGGCAAAAACACCACAAAATGATCTAACAAATACATCGCATAAAACTTGTCTAGATTCTCTGTATTTATAAAGAAAGCATTCTCTACTTGATATAAAGAGTATCTTTTGGATGTAAATTAGAGAATATGACTTTTAACTAACCCGTTGTGGCGGTTTTCCTAAATTAGTAGCAATGTAATATCCTTGCCCCGGCCGACCCTTTAAGTTCTCCATCGGCACACCATTTGAATCACGTAGATCTCTCTTAGTTCGGAGAAGAGGAATCCTATGAAATGCCTTTCTCTTGGGGACATTTTGTTCATAACTTAAGTCCAATAAACACATTAAGAAAAGCCAAATCGTTGTCCAGCAGAAGTCAATTCGTACACGCATCGTTCTTGTTTTGATGCCAAAATCATGCAGAATTGTACCGTATTCTCACCCTTGTAGAAAAGAGACAGCCAAACCATTCCACAGGAAAACCTGTAGATATTGGTTTATGGTATCTGGAGATTCAAAACTACAAATCTAAGGTTTTTTTCGGCACATTTTGGTTCAAATTCTTRAGATTCGCCTCTGTTGCTTTGCTCCATCCATTTCACTCCTCGCTTCTCCTTCGGGCTGTGACGTCACGCATGGCAATGGCATGCCAATTCGACTTCCGGTCCACAAACACTTGATACCATCACATCCGCATTTAGTTGATGAACTTGGAATTCTTTGTACATCATTTCTTTTATAGAATCAAGGGCGTCTCCTTGATTTGTAAAATTTGTTAGCCAAGGGAGTCAACCTTAAGAATTTATCTTTCAAAAAAATGACATTTCAAATCACRTATCTGACCCCAAACTGGCATTCCTAAAGGACGTTGTTTTGTTTTTTTGGCTTTAAACTAATCTTGGAAAACCGTACCTTGATTTCAGGAATGAAAATTAGACGTTACTAAGATAAATTGTATATTTTGTTACCTAGCCCAACTAAAACATTCGTTTCCGTATCGCGAAATAGAATCCATAAAAAATAATTCAATTAAATAAATAAAAAAGAAACTCGAACCAGCCTCAAAATTATATCAGTTTATTCATTAAACCGAAAAATGAGAAGTTAACATTTTGTTCTTAGTAAATGGAGTAGTAAATGAGAATAAAAGGAAAGGAGTATGGGTTTGGAAATATTCGGATGAAGCCGAAGAAGCCGAAAATCTAACGACTCTTGTCGTTAGTTTTTCGTTGAGAAATCGGAAATTAGTTATGGTAATAACCACTGTACATAAAGCATGCAGACCGAATGCAAAATGGCGGTGGACTTTGGATGAAGAGGTTGAAGAGGGTTTTTCATATACTTTTAGAATCAAATGCCCGACTTATCTCCCCAAAAGCTTCCTAAATTTCATTGCTTTAACCTACGAGGGGCTCTTTGCGTAACTATCGTTTCTCTTTTGTACATATTTTTATCAAAAATGACAGTGTTATGTAATTTTGCACACGATGCATCGGACCATGTGGACTAGTTGTAGAACATGTATAGAATTTGATGTTACTAGTTAGTCGGTATTAGTTTTATAACAAATGTTGAGAATTGGGTTGATGTCGGCCTCGAAAGCGACAAGGAGGCTCAGGATACTCTCTAATTCAATAGGATGTCCTGCTTTACGACCTCTGTGTTCTGGTAAGTTTTTGAAAAGGACGTTTCTTATCTTAAATATATTAAGCTTAAATTTTCTTATATATCTCCAGAAAATGGTCATAATTCAGTTTGAATAGGAAATGAATGGCAAATTCCATAAAGACGGTTAACTTCTTTAATATATACCCTCCATACCCTGTCAGACGTTTCCGTCCCCTATTGTTCACGCATGGACAAGACTAATGATATGTTTTTAATTTGTGTATAAAGACAGTAGAGTTAGCATTGGAGATGTTAGCATCAAAGTCAAAAAGTCCCTGAAACCAGAACTAGTTCCTATAAAATACTGTAAGTCAAAATGCTTAATGCCATGCTTCTAGACGGGAATTTTAGGGAGATATTTCTATGCAAGGGGTGGAGCTGGAGATTAGGTATTTATGGTAGTGGGACAAGTCTAAGGGTAAAAAATATTTGAAAAGTTTGGGTTTACAAAATGGGTGTTTGTGAGGGGTGAGGGGGAGGGGTGAGGTGTGGACAGGTGTAAGGTTATAGGTTATGTGAAAAGTTGGGGTTCAAGTGAATGAGTATTTGTAGAGGGAGTAGGGGTGGGGATTGAACAGGCATATGTATACAGGGTATATAAAGGAAGACTACTGTATATGAAATGTTAGAGATATTGTTTGAGTGTATTTTGGAAATGTATGAAAAAATTGTTATCCACTTTTTTGCAAGTTTATACTCGGATGTTCACATTTCAGATTCTGAAGATCTTCCACAATCTACTCTAAATACATTAAGATGGATTATGCAGAAGGTTAGTAACCTTATTTCATTTAAAATGTCTATCCTAAAGTGTGATATAACAAATTAAAAGATATACAGTATTTGTAATAGATGTTATGCTTGTTGCTAAAACTCAAAAAAATTATAATATCAAATTATAATATCATAACGTACTTTTCTTTAATAGGACAAACTTGGTCAGGATGTGTTTTTGATTGGTCCACCAGGACCTTTGAGAAGAATTCTTGCCATGCAATACCTGGTAAGTTGAGATGTAATATTTGATAGATCAATGATAATGTAATATTTATGAATGTGTARTCACAGAAATTATCCATGACCCCAACCCAACCCACAGAGGATTTTGGAATTTCGAAGGGGGGTGGGGGTCTGGATWAAAAAAAAATTACAGACTTTGTATCAAAGAAAATTGGAATTTTTTGGGGTGGAAGGGGGCGGGGGCTTGAAAAATACCTTCCGTTGGGGGGATGGATAATTTCTGGAACTACACAGTAATTGATATAACTTTGTTTTTGTTAGGAGCTGACCAATTCAGAAATGGAGTATTTGGCCTTGACAAGAGACACAACTGAGTCAGATTTAAAACAAAGGAGAGAAATCCATTCTGGTTCAGCATTCTATGTTGATCAGTGTGCAGTAAGGGCTGCAGTAGATGGCAGGATTCTGGTGCTGGAAGGGATAGAAAAAGCTGAGCGAAATGTCTTGCCTGTTTTGAACAACCTACTAGAGAACAGGTGATTCTTCTAGACATGAAATGACTTTTCTCTGTCATCCATGATGATAATGATAATGCATGGTAGTGATGATGATGATGACACTTGATGATAATGATGGTAGTGATGATGATGATGATGACACTTGATGATAATGATGGTAGTGATGATGATGATACACAATGATGATGATGATGATGATATGCTATGACGACGATATCAATGATTATAATGATGATGAGGATGATGCTCAATAGACCCTGTTTACATATCACAATGTTTATTTCCATGAGCATATTTCACCCTGCCTAACCTCGACATGGCTGCTTCATGAATTGATGATGATGATGATGATGATGCCTAAGTTGATGATGGTGATTAATCCCTTCCAGCTTCACATTCCTAAAAGTTTAGAATTTGTGAAAGATTCATTTTGATTATTGTTATTGTGTTGTGCATAGAGAGATGCAGCTTGAAGACGGAAGGTTCTTRATGTCTGCAACCAGATATGATGCTTTGTTGAAGGTATGTGTATTTAGGCAATGGATGATAATAATGAATAAATGTATGGATTAGTGGTTAGTTAGCAAACCAGCAGGCAGGGCTTAAAATGATGGCCAGTCAGTCACCAGTTATACAGTAATCACTGTTAAAGTTAGTCTTAGGCCTAGGGCAAACGTCGAACTTTCCATGCACCGAACTCATTAAAAACAATGGATATCAGGTGATAATGAGGTGGCATTCTTTGATGTAATTAAGTTTGGTGCATGGAAAGTTCGACGTTTGCCCTAGGCCTTAGCTTGGTCATACTGTACTGTACTGTACCTCCTTTCTGGCTCAACATTACTGAGGTTAAAATGACTGGTAATGCAAAGATTTGACCAGACAAGTTTCAATGAAATTTTGGCTGGACATAAATCGATGTCCAGCTGTTATATTGAGTCCTGGAAAGTGAATAAGTGAGAATGAATGGAAAGATGAATGGGTTTTTTGTTTGTCTAGGAGCACACAAAAGAAGAGCTTGATGCATGGAAGTTAGTGAGAGTAAGTGAAGACTTTAGAGTGATAGCTCTTGGACTACCTGTACCTCAATACCAAGGAAACCCACTGGACCCGCCACTCAGATCAAGATTCCAGGCCAGAGATATCCAACTGCTACCTTATAAGGTATTGCTAAGAACTTTTTATTACATAGTTAGGATAGTATACGCGTGCTGATTGGTCGAAAACTGTGCTTTTTTAGTGAACAGAGCACAGAGCTGACTCCATCTGCATCGGCTAATTGTGTCATTCAGGTTTCTGTTATAATTAGCCTATGTCTTACAGCTTGTAAACGTATATATCTTTTAAATCAAAATCTGTAATATTACTGGCATTAATAAATTTATCTTGAATCTTGAATCTGCACGCACAATGTGCTGCTAGATCCTGCGACCATCTTTCTTTTTGTGTAAATAAATTCAATACCAAAAACAATTAGTAGCTATATGATWAAAAGACTAAAACAGTTTTTTCTGTGCCCAGTTCAGTAATAAAGCACTTACAAAGCACTGTAAGCACTTAAGAAGTGTGAGAAGCACTTGCCTATGGCTCATGTTTCTCGTTAACTTCTTTTATGCTTATGTCCCTTCCTGCATGCTTTTATTCCATAGGATCAGCTAGCTGGCCTTCAAGCTATGACACCTCAGATACCTCAATCCAAGTGAGTATTACAATAAAATAATAATGTAAATACTGCATTTCAGTTCATTACCTTGAATATTGATCAGTACATTTATTTGGAAATCGCACAATCTCGAGAAGGCTCGTCCAATTTTGAAAACTTTCAAAACATCTTTTGTACCTATAATTTCCAAATCGTAGTACATAGAAGATGTGCAATTTTGTGTTTATAATACTCTCAACAAAATTGAGGAATTTAATTGAGACTCTACAGAGTTCAATTTGTATAGGAAATCGCACGATCTCGAGTACAATTTGGAAATTAATAGACACGAGTAATGTTTTGAAAGTTCTTGTAATTGCACGAGCCTTTAGGCGAGTGCAATTAAACAACTTTCAAAACATTACGAGTGTCTATTAATTCCAAATTGTACGAGAAGATCGTGCGATTTTTTGTTTATAGTTCACTCAACAAAATTTCAGTAAAAAATGCGAAGAAACGCCGTTCATCTTTGTCTATTTGGCGGCCGATTTTCAGTCCATCGCGCAACTGAAATGCATAAAAAAGATTAGTTCTTATGGTTTTAAAATTTTATTTATATGTTTTTTAAGTACAAAATGATAGAAAATAATTGTTTTGGCCGTGTTGCCATAGCGACTTAATTCGGTACTCCTACAGAGTACAATTAACGCTATGATTGTACTCCTCTCGACCAATCAGAGTCAATTAATTTTGTTGAGTGTACTATAAGGGATTTAATCGTACTGTTCTTGTCCAATCAGAATCGAGTAATTTTGTAGAGTGTATTATAAAACTCTAAATGTGACTCTAAAATTATTTTGAAATTACATTACAACCTTATTAATTATTAATTATTGATTATTGATTACAATCTTATTAATTATTTTGAAATTGTTTTCAGGCTTATTCAGTTGGTGTCGTTTGCACAAACACTACAGTCTTCTGAGCTATCAGGTCTTGGTTTACCAGACTTTCCCATGCACAACTTGATCAAGATTGCTAACATTTTGGTAAGCACTTTGGTTTCTGATTTTGAAGGTTAACGACAATAATGAATTGAAATAAAAAGATACAGTATTAGAGTATGTAGTTATTACTTATGGTATGGTTTAAYGTGTTTGTATTTCAGGAAAGAGAACCGCAACATTCTATACAAGACCTTGTTTATATGTTGTACCCACATGACCTGATACTGGGTGCCGAGGGGCAAAAAGTTGTCCAAGATGCTATACAGGTATACAGTCTTTCAATTTGCAGCTGCATAAGTTAATTCATATACTGCGAGGATCCGCTCAATTTGATACATTACAACCGCAGTATTTCATATATATTCTCATACACGAGATAATATCCATACCCCACAATGGAGGAAATTGGAAATTCCCTAGGGGTGGGGGGTCAGAGGAAAAACAAAATTACAAGGTTTGTATGGAAGAAATTTGGAAATTCCTGAGGGGTGGGGGGACTTTTTTCAAATTTTCTACAAGGTACTGTAGGGTGTAGAAAGTTTCTGGAGTGACACAATTTATATTTCTATATCATTAAGTTAAGAATTTGTTTATTTGAATTTTGTTTATTATTTTAGAAAACATCCCAACCTTCCCCTAGGAAAGTAAAGATCTTTAGGGATAGAGGAAGGGTCTGAGACAGGTTTAAGTTAGTGGTTTCTTTATGATTTCATTATTATTATTTAATTGCAGACTTTCCAGTTAGAGGATAAGCACAGTACCAAACAAAGAACACACATTGAAATGGTCCAGAAACAGTCTGTAGGTACAGCTAACCCTGTAGCGACAGTCCAGTTAAAGAAAACTAATCGTGTTTCTACTATGATTGATGTACCATGTGGAATCAAAACAGGAGAACATGCTAATGCCGAGGTAAGATAATTTTCCTTGCACCCTTTTTTTTCCTTTTTTTTTCTTTTTCCTTTTAGAGGGACCGCTATGAATTAGGGARAGGGCAACCAAAAACTTCAGCATTAGTGGAACCTCTATGACTAACCAATAATAAGAGGAGGGGCCAGACCCATTGATCGCACCCCTTAATTCGCTTATGGCTTAGTGACATTTTAAAACATTTTAAAACATTTTAAAATATTTTTCCTTCTAATACTGGCTAATAGTGGTAGTTATTTCTGGTTTATTTTACAGGTTGATTTTGTAATGACACCATATCACAGTAATCTGCTGTCAGATATGCTACAGTCACACTCTGTTCATGACTTCTGTTTAGTTGGACCAAAGGTACATGTTTAATGTTTTGATACATATTGCATGGCTGCATTGACCAGAGACAGTCCTGATAATTTTATTTAGAGTAAAACTATATCTTTAAAGTAAATTCCTTCCCTCCCTATATCTCTCTCTCCCTCCCTCCCTCTCTTCCTTCCCTCCCTCCCTCCCTCCATCAAACCACCCACCCACCCTTCCACCCACCTATACATTATTTATTTTTTCCCTTCACAATCATTGCTCTACTCTCGTTTATACTCTCTTTTATCCATCCATCTATTCAATCGTTCACATGAATAAGTGAATTAGTTGCATATTTTGAGATTCTTTCCTGTTTTATTCTTCAAGGGTTGTGGTAAAACAGTCATTGTACGACAGTTTGCCAACATACTTGGCTACAGAATAGAACCAGTGGTACTATACCAGGACATGACTTCACGTGATCTCCTTCAACAAAGAATAACCCTAGCTAATGGGGATACAAGCTGGAGACCTTCTCCTCTTGTTACTGCTGCTCTGGAGGGTCATATTGCAGAATTAGATGGCTTACATAGAGTCAACCCTGGAACACTAGCTGTTCTTCATAGGTAAGCTAATGCTGTATACAGTAAACATCTGGCTGATCAAAATTTCTTACAGTTATCATGGTGGTTTCATGTAGGGTTCGAATGGATTCAAATTTCATTGAGCCCTTAAGCAACCCCTGGGGAAGGGCTTATCTGATTCAAGGTAGAGCTAACCCTTAAATCAAACCCTGAAACAACCTTTGGGTTGATCTAAGGGGTACTGCTAACTTCCTGCTAACCCACAGATCAAACCCTGGAATAACCTTTGGGTTGATCTAAGGGGTACTGCTAACGTCCTGCTAACCCACAGATCAAACCCTGGAATAACCTTTGGGTTGATCTAAGGGGTACTGCTAACTTCCTGCTAACCCACAGATCAAACCCTGAAACAACCTTTGGGCTGATCTAAGGGGCACTGCTAACTTACAGATTGAACCCTGGAACAACCTCTCAATCAAGAGAGAATGGAAAATTTCTGGAATTACACATTTTAACAAACCATCCTTGGCTCTCTCTTGTAACATGACATCATATAATAAGCATTTCATTCTTGTTGTTTTGGTTATTCAGAGTAGTTCATGATCGTGAGCTTCAGCTGTATGATGGCTCTCGACTCATAAGTCATGACCGCTATCAAGCATTGAAAGACAAACTCAATTTAAATGATGAAGAGATAAATGCAAGGTTTGTTAACTTTTCTATTCCATTCTCATTCCTTTGCTATCTCATTCCATCTTGTCTCATCCTTCCAATACCATACCCTCTATATGCTATACTTGCTTATCCCATCCTATTCCACTTATCCCATTCTTTTAGTCATCCCATCTTCCATCCTATAACTGCAACAGCAAGAGCAATAACGCTATAAATTATCATTGTATCTAGTCCCATCGCATTCTGTCCCGCCCTATTTCCTCTCTTTCCTTTCCCATTTTGTCTTTCTCATTTCATTCGAGTCCTCTGCAGTTATCTAATGTGTTTCTAATTATTTTTTAGGGGTATTTTTTGCATCCATCCATCATTTCGTCTCATTGGATTAGCAGAGCCACCCATCRTCGGCAGCAGTCAGCCACAGTGGCTTAACTCAGAAATATTATCCATGTTTTTATTTCATAAAGTGTCTCCACTCTCCAGAATTGAAGAGGCAGATGTGATATATAGCATGGTAAGGTGTAAGATAGATAGTAATGAAACATAAAGAGTTTGAGTAGGGTTTGTGTTGTTCAATTCAGTTTTGCCAAGAGGGTTTTTCTCCAGGTTTGGTATTTTACTCCCTCTGTAAAAATCACTATGCAAGTTGAAAGTTGTTAATACATTTAATAAAAATTTTAATGGTTTTAGTAATTACAAGGTATCGGTATCCCAAGAAATGACGTGTATTCTGTCATCATAATTAGGTCCCAAGTGTTCCCAAGGAGCCTATGGACAAGCTCTTGCATCTGACAGACAAACTAAGAAATGCCAAAGATCTTACTGTAAGTAAAATTATCTATGGCTAGAGCACCCAGATTTGTGGAATATTATAGGGAATCAAGGGTGGCATATATAGAAGTAGCACACTTGCATCTCACCTCTGGGGTCTTGGGTGTAATTCATGGACTCAGCATCACATGTAGGTAGAGTTTGTTAGGTCTTTCCCTTGATTCGTGATTTTTTTTCTCCTGGGTGTAAATTGGGTTTGACTTCTGGACTCAGTATCACGTGAGTGGAGTTTGTTAGGTCTCTCCCTTGATTCAAGGGTTTTTCTCCTGGGTCTAAATTGGGTTTGATTCCTGGACTCAGMATCACATGTGGGTAGAGTTTGTTAGGTCTTTCCCTTGATTCGTGATTTTTTTTCTCCTGGGTGTAAATTGGGTTTGATTTCTGGACTCGGCATCACATGTGAGCAGAGTTTGTTAGGTCTCTCCCTTGATTCATGTTTTTTTCCTCCTGGGTGTAAATTGGGTTTGATTTCTGGACTCAGTATCACATGTGAGTGGAGTATGTTAGGTCTCTCCCTTGATTCATGTTTTTTTTCTCCTGGGTGTAAATTGGGTTTGATTTCTGGACTCAGTATCACATGTGAGTGGAGTATGTTAGGTCTCTCCCTTGATTCAAGGGTTTTTCTCCTGGGTCTAAATTGGGTTTGATTCCTGGACTCAGCACTGGGTTTTCCAGTCTTCTTCCCTCTGCAAAACCTTACATGCTAAATTCAAGTTGATTGGTGAGTTAGCTGGCCCCTTTGATCAGCCCTGGTGTTGTTTTAGGGATAAAATATGAAAGTTTAACTTCTGTTGATGTTGCGTGATATAGAAAAATGACTTAAAATCATGTCATTTTCCTTATTAATTTGCAGCTTTCTTCAGTCTCATCATCGCTTTCTACACGACAGTTACTTCGTATCGCACACAGATTGGCCAGCTTTCCTGCAGAGTCTTTGGAGCATTCAAYCAACAAAGCATGTTTATCACGGTGAGTTATCAACCTGAGGATGACTTCCACTCAGGTTGTCGAAATGTCAGTCACCACCACCAACAGTCTTTCTCAAGACTACACTCATCTGGACAATCACATTTCACACCAAACTTCAACACCTGAGTACAAACCACTCTTGTAGCTACATTGTTATTTTCTAACCATCAATCTCACCTAAAACCAGAACTACTTGTTTATTTCATACTCGTTGGTTCTCAAAATGGTGAGAAAGACAAAAGCCTGGGCTTTTCACATGCAAGGGTTATTAAGTGCCTTTGTGTGTAGTAAACACCAGGGACAAGGTTTAATAAATTTAAATAACTTTGTATACACCTCCTCACTCCCTCTATTTACTTAATATAAGCCTGGTTTTTATTCTCATGGGAATGAATGTGGCTGCTTGTGTTATACATACCCCGCGTTACACATGTAGATGCTCTCTCCTACAAAATATGACAAAGAAGTGCTAGAGCTAGACAGCCCCTGGTACYAAAGGTAGCCAACCATCTTTGGAGTTTAAAAAAATAATAGTAAAGAGTAATGTAAAATATAAAGAACTATTTACTGGCTTTCTAGGTATCAGGTGCCTCTTTTGAAAACACCTTGGATCTGGCACTTGATCTGTGACATTGCTAGAAATTTCTACTTGTAAAAAAAATGCCTACCCTAAAGATTTCTTTCTCAGGCACAAATTCCCATTGTAATCTGGGTATGATTACTGACAGCCTCAATGTTTCCTTTTCAGGTTTCTACCAAAATTAGCAGGTGCAAGTTTAGAAAGAGAGTTGCAAGAAGCTGGCATAACAAAAGAGAATAATAAAGAAGACAAAACAGAAGAATATTCAACAAATTCCATCACAAGTGAGAAGGATTATTTTATTCTTTTTACTATGGCGAGTTATTTGTAGGTCAGAAAATATGAGTATCCCCAAATCCAGAATTGAAACTTGACCGGTCAAATCTTTGCCTTGCCGGTTATTTTTGACCAGTAACCTTGAGCCAGAAATAAGGAAGGACTGATCTAAAGCTAATTTGGCAAGTCATTGTGGTCGGTGACTTACTGGCCGTTATGTGACCAGTCAATCGGACCAGTGAAAAGGACTGGCCTAAAAGGCATGGCTGTTTAATTGAMAATTTTTAATTTTGGCCAGACATTGTCAGTTTCAAGACCTAGCATTATCTTGAGCCCTGTGGTATCTACCAGGATATATCATCCCCAGCGAGAAAGAAATAGATATTGTCTGGACTACCAAACTCTCACCACAAACCAGAACTACTTGTTTATTTCATACTCGTTGGTTCTCAAAATTGTGAGAAAGACAAAATCCTGGGCTTTTCACATGCAAGGGTTATTAATTGCCTTTGTGTGTAGTAACACCAGGAACAATAACTAAATTATGTACCGTATATAATCTTACAGCATTTTGAAAAGGCCATGGTGAAAACTTCAATTGACCTATCTCCAGTGTAATAAAATTTAGACAGACAGACAGACAGACTTTTTTATTCGGTATTGAGTATAAGAAAATACATTGACATTTTACCCGAATAAACATTAACGTATGAAGGTTATAATTGTTGATTTATAGTAGGTTTTCTTATGTTATAATAGATTCACCTATTTAACCTATTTAGTACAATAAACTATTTATTGCCTAGTCTGGGTAAGAAGACAACATACTATATTAATTCTGTATTGTATGTGATCTTTTTATAAAGCAGTTGTGGACATATTTTGCTACTG